GCAAGCAATTTCCTGAGTTATCTCACTAGGCCAAAATGTGGGTTTTAGTCTGGGTGAGCAACCCCAAACGTGATGTCCTGCCACTCTGGAGAAGACAGGGCTGAATGAAGGAGTGGACCCTACCCTTCCTTGGCACACTTGATTAAAGCTGACTCTGCTATTATTAACTTGGCAACCACGGGTTGGGTCTGTTTCCTCCTGTGTAGACGGGAGGTGGGGATAAGACATAAGACGCCTGCACAGTAGCGCTGTGCACTTCCAAGGAGATTCTGTCCGCGAGAAGTCCACAGGAATCAGCCACTGCTTTCCCCTGACTGGGGGGATGTTTGCCCTCCCGTTCCTGTCTTCTGCCAATAGGTACTTCAGGTCTAGCATCACTGGTTCCAAAGAAAGCAGCCAGGAGAACAGCTGGCTCGGAGTGAACCGTCTGGACACGGGCCATTTGTAGAGGACAAAGTGCGTGAAGTGCAGACTGGCTGCCCGGTGTCACTGGGCACCATACTTACAACTCCTGGGCTGACATGGAGAGCCCTACACCCCACTCTCCCCGCCTCGCTACCCTGCTCTCTCGCCTAGCTCTGAGAAAGTGACTCATCAAGACAGGTCCTTTACCCAGGCTGTGGGAGAACTAACCCACAAATCAGCCACACTTTGGTTAGCTCGGGGAGGTAAGAGACTGGCAAATGGTTAAGATCTGTTCGGAAAGGCGCCAGCCTGACAGATCCGGGGCCTGGGGCCTCCACTGCGAAAGTTGATGCAAGCTTGGTTTTCAGGCTGCCAGGCTGCACAGGGCCCGTCTAATCCTGCAACTGGAACAGAATTTAGAGAGACCTCCCACCCCGTTGGAGTGCTCAGTTTAGGATGGACTCTGAGATCATCGGCCTAACATCAGCCTTGTTACATATACAAGGAAAAAGTCAGAGAGAACCCCATCCCTCCACTAATGACAAGCAGTTTCAGGGCCAAGATCTAGAACTATCTTAGGCAGGGTTTCTATTGCTACAACTAAACATCATGTCCTAAAGCAACTTGTGGAGGAAAGGGTTTATTTGGCTTATACTTCCACATCATAGTTCATTTAAAAAGACAGTCAGAGTAGAAACTCAATCAGGGCAGGAACCTATAGGCAGGGGCTGATGCAGAGGCCATGGATGGGTGCTGCTTACTGGCTTGTCCATCATGACTTGCTCAGACTGTTTTCTTATAGAACCCAGGACCATCATCCCAGGGATGACACCACCCACAATGGGCTGGGACCTCCCCCATCAGTCACTAATTAAGAAAATGCTGACCAGTTGGTGGTGGTGCACGCCTTTAATCCCAACACTTGGGAGGCAGAGACGGGAGGATCTCTCTTGGGTTCAAAGCCAGCCTGGTCTACAGAGTGAACTCCAGAACAGTCAGGACGACACAGAGAAACCCTGTCTCAGAGAGGAAAGAGAGGAAGAGAAAGAGAGAGGAGAGAGGAGAGATAGAGAGAGAGAGAGAGAGAAAGAGAGAGAGAGAATGCTGTAAGATTTGCTTGCAGCCCACTCTTATGGGGGTATTTTCTCAACTGAGTTTTCTACCTCTCTGATGACTCCACCTGTGCCAAGCTGACATGAAATTAGTCCGCAGAGACCTTTATTCTGCCTGCCTAGCCAGCCCCTCTGACGCTTTGAACTTGCTTGGGATTCATTGCATTGAAAGCCCAAAGAACAGATTTTCTTGCTGTGCGTCTTATCTGGTGTCCCCACTACGTACACAGCTTCAAGAATTATTGTTTGGCCTCAGAAAGGGGATAAAGCCTGAGTGGTGGTCCTAGTCTTCAGTTGCCCCAAGGAGCCTCTGGGAATCTCTGCAACTCCAGAATCCAGACTCTCTGAGTTTGGATGGAAACTCTTCAGCCCTGGGGATGAGTCCACACAGGCTCAGCTGAGGGTTCCTTGGCTTGTCCTGTGTTCCCTAGAGGATGCCAAAGGGGTGGGTCATAACTGATGGAGCTTCAAAGCCTCTGGTTTTATTCTATGAGAGTGGTTGAGCAAGGCATGCTCCAGAATGAAGTGATCCTTGTGCCACGTGATGCGCAGGGCAGCTGGCTCTCCCTTGTCCTTAGCCCAGTGCCTGGCAAGTGGTCCCCAGGACAAGGAAGGGAACACTTTATGAAGAAGCAGGTACTAAAGGGAAGCAGGGGGTCTCCCTGACAGGGTGGCTGCCCTGTGCCCACCCCAGGCACTATGCCAGCTGCCCAAGCCTTGGGTTTTCTCTTGAACTTCCTCTAGGTGGCAAGATATTGCCAGCAGGTACTTTGGAGGAGACATGGCTCATGCACACCCATTTGTAAGAGATATCTCTGTCCAGCCATACTACAAAAGCATCTTGTTGACTTACTTAGTGTCTGTGAAGTTCATATTAAAACTAACAGGATGGGGGAGTTTACAACACCTGAAGGGGATATCGAGGCATGGAAATGGATGACGATCTACATACCAGATGTTTGTCTCACCTACATAAAATAAGATAAAGAGAGAACACTGTGGGACAATGGTCTGTACCCCGTCAATTGTATTTCAATAAAATGCTGATTGGCCAGTAGCTCAGGCTTCTTATTAACTCTTATAACTTATATTAGCCCATAATGCTTGTCTGTGTTAGCCACGTGGCTTGCGACCTTTTTTGGCGAGGCAATGCAGATGAGCCAACATGAGACAAAACGCTAAATCCAAAATTCCGTCTCTGAAACTGGGGAAGACAGGACGTGATGGGGACTCTGGAATCGCTCATTTCTTTCTTGGACTTCACTTGGGAAGTCACTGTCAACTTGGCAGGGGTGGCAAGGTAGCCATGGTACCCCTGTTGGTTAAAGTACGTCGGCATTGACCAGGGCAATTAGTAGACACACAACATGGACCTTGAGTGATGGGAAATCGCACACCCAGAATGCCCTGGGTGCTTAGCTTGCTGCTTGCAGAGCTAGGGCAGAGGCAGACTTGAGTGTGGAGGGACAGATGCCCTCCTGGGATGACCACACGAATAGCAGGGCCATCTGAGAGTCCCAGGGGCTGTCTGCAGTGTCTGAACAGTGAGCCGCCGGGGTTCAGTTTGCTTCTGCTGGCAGAAAAGGCTCTTTAGAAGTTCGCCATCTTATAGGACCACAGGTTTTCTCACACACGCACCATTCTCCAGACACCCCTGATGGAGGAGGGTCATCTGTCTATATGTTACTTTCATTGGTTAATTAATAAAGAAACTGCTTGGCCTGATAGGTCAGAATATAGGTAGGCGGAGTAGACAGAACAGAAGGCTGGGAAGAAGGGAAGTGAGTTAGATGCCATGGCTCTTCTCTCCAAGATGGACACAGGTTAAGATCCTTCCCGGTAAGCCACCACCTCGTGATGCTACACAGATTATTAGAAATGGGTTAATCAAGATGTGAGAGTTAGCCAATAAGAGGCTGAAACTAATGGGCCAAGCAGTGTTTAAATGAATACAGTTTCTGTGTTGTTATTTCTGGGTGTAAAGCTAGCCATGCGGGAGCCAGGCGGGAACGCAGCCCGCCGCTCCTTCTACACACCCCAGAATCCGAGCTCGTGTTGTTCCTCCGCCTGCAGACAAGTGTGTCCCCTGTCTCTCATGAACCAGAAGATGTGTCCTCCACACTCCGGCCCGGCTCACCACAATTCAGCTTTTCTGATTCTCCCTTAGTCTTATGACTTTGCCACAGTCCCAGCCCACCAACGTCCAACCCTTAGCCCATGTTATAGAATATTGTAGAATTTTCTTACATCTATAAAGCAACTCAAAACGACCACACTTGAAAGACTAGAACAGATGTGGTTCTGACCCCACCCTGTGTGAGTCGGGAAGTCTGGCACAGCATGGCCATCCGCGCATCACTCAGCCCAGAGGGCAAGGCCAGGGGAAACACAGGCATCTTGAAGGAGATCTGGGGAATTCCACAGAAGAGGCCTTTTGCAAGAAAGGGAACAAGAGATCCGTTTCAGTCTGTGTCCCTGGCTCAGTCCCCACTTTTCCCTACAAGTCACGATCCCCAAGCACAGCCACACCGTGTGACCTCGGCACACACGCCATCATTGCCCACTTTGCCTAGTAGTCGGGTCTCTGTGCTGTCTTGCCCTCAAGCAGGTTTGTGTCTCCCGGAAGCCAGGGACTGGAGAGTAACTAGCATTCTCCTGCTGCAAGGTAAACATCCCTCTCTTCACACCACGCGAATGCTTCTGAGTATGTGTGTGTTGTTGCACGAATAATAAGAACCCAGAGACAGACACTGGAGTTCAAGATGAAGGCCAGAAAAGCAAAGCAGCCAGCCACTGGCTCTTACCTCTCAGGCCGAAATGGGCAATCCTGCCTCTGCTAGTATGGCTGTTTTTCATTCTGATCCTTGGGCAAACTTTGTTTATTAAAACACAAATAATGTACCACTATATTGCAAAGCAGCCACACTAGTCAGCCATAGTCAGGTCAGGCAGTGATGGCACACACCTTTAATCTCCGCAGCCACATTAGTTAGCTATAGAGACCGGGCGGTGGTGGTGCACACTGTTAATCCCAGCAGCCACACTAGTTAGCTATAGAGACCAGGCGGTGGTGGTACACACTGCTAACCCCAGCAGCCACACTAGTTAGCTATAGAGACCGGGCGGTGGTGGTGCACACTGCTAACCCCAGCACTAGAGAGGAATATAGAACAAGAGGAGACAACTCTCATGGTCAGGCTCAGTCTGAGGATCCGTGGAGGCAGGATCACCCATTTCAGTCTGAGGCAGAGATAAGAGCCAGTGGCTAGCTGCTTTGTTTTTCTGATCTTCAGCTTGAACCCCAATATCTGTCTCTGGGTTTTTATTATTCATGATACAGTGTCTAGCCTATATTCTTGGGAAAATAAGACTTTTTATGATCCGACTAATAAAATATCACTACATAAAGCTTGCCTGAAGATCAGAGAGTCAAACAGCCCCACTGGTCAGCCTTATAGACCAGGCAGTGCTGATACACACCTTTAATCCCAGTAGCCACACTAGCTTGCCATAGAAACTGGGTGGTAGTGCTGCACGCCCTTAATCCTAGCCCTAGAGAGGATTATAAAATGGATGGCAGAGTGGCTGAGGACATTCGCAACCATTGCCTTCTAGACGTGAGGTATGTTTTGCTTTCTTTCATGTACCGGTTAAAGGCATGAGCTTGTATCACCAAGGAAATAATCATTAGGATGAAAAAGATATGGATAGAGGACATAGAGATTGAAGGCCGGGTATGGTCTGGCCCACCTTCTCTCATTGGCACTCTGTCTGCCCTGGTACCACCGTGAAGATATCTAACCAGTACTTCTCAAGGCCACTCAGTAAAGAATCCTGCAGAGGCACAGGGCTGAGAGGGACACGTAAGCAAGGTCATTTAAAAACGACCGGAGACACAGACCTTCCCTTCTCGATACTCACCACGGCAATGCCTGTCCAACTTTTTACCATGAACCACTGTAAGAAACACATGCCGCATCATACACCAGCCCATTCTTGGATATAAGAACATCTACGTATAGAAGTACACACTTGGCCAGATGTTATGGACGATACTAAACGTCAGTGTGTGAACCCTGAAATCCTTTCTATTCTACTCTGTCCAAAAGGATGTTTGTGAATTTACATCCCGTTCATGACTAGCAAGCGAACCACTGGGGAAGCAAGCAAGGTGAGAAGACAGAAGGAAGGGAGAGAGAGGATCCACACACGGAGAAGTCAGTCAACTTCTTTGGTTGCGTTTAGATGCTCATTCACGGGTCCATGTTCAACATCCATCTGCTCCAGCCTGTCCAACCAGAATCCAGTCCTAAAGATCCACCTTCTGCCGTAGGATTTGCAGACCAGTTTGCTGGTCTGTTTTGTTCTGTGGCCTGTGGACAAAAAATGATTTTAAACAAAACCAAAGGGGAATAACTTTTACAATCAATTAAAGTCGATCGAAACGCACATTTCTGCGTGCACACACACTGGCTCACAGCACACCTCATTTGTGTATGGTGGCTGCTCTCTCACAGTGGCTGAGCCCAGATGTTGCTTTTGAGTGGTGTGGTCTACAAAGCCTAGAATAGTTATCATACCCCGACATAAGGAAGGAGTCTGTGTATCTCCTGTGTACCTCCTGGGTCAGGAGGAGCTGACCTGGAAAGAAATGGTATGGCTGGAAATGCTCTAGGTAGAGTGGGTGTAATGAGAACGTCTCATTTTCTAGAGCCTTCTCTGGCCAGTAGAAACATCCACTGACACTGCCATACAGTGAGCTGCTGTAACCTCAGAGATGGGTAAGTTGATCTCCCACAGGCCCCTGCTCTCCTCTCAAGCACCATGTGACCCGGTCCAAGGAGACTAATGGACGAGGACTCAGAGAGTATGGCCTTGGACAAACTCATCAGCACCAGGAACTGGAGAGGTGGCTTGGTGGTTAAGAGCACTCTCTGCCCCTCTGGGGGTCCCAGGTTCAATTCCCAACACCCACATGAAGGCTCACAATTGTCTGTAACTCTAGTTCCAAGGGGCCTGATTCTCTTCTGGCCTCCATGGGCACCAGGCACATGCTTGTTGCAATGACATATGTATAAACAAAACACCCCCATACATAAAAAAGTTGTAAAAACCAACAAAATGAAAGAACACTCCCCAGCACTGGGCTCTGACTATCAGACTTTGCCTCCTCTGTCTTGCTACCCACTTTTTTCCCTCATCTCCCTTCTCATCTACCCCCACCATCTTTTTGTTGGTTTGTATAAGATGGGTCATTATTTTCTGACAAAGTATAAAGGGAGGTAAATTTTTAAAATATTAATGAACACACTCCTCTGAGTTCCATACCCCATGTCTCCTCAAATTCCCTTCTACCCTAAGGAAGTAGCTAGACTGTTCTAGGCTTTTGTTTCATGAAGCAAAGGAGTGAGGAGTGGGGGTGGAGAGTGAGGAGTGGGTGTGGAAGTATGGAGTGAGTGAGGGGTGGGTGTGTGGCGTGTGGAGTGGGTGTGGGAGTGTGAAGCTTTGGGCTTTGGCTACAGGTACAGAGAGAGGTGCCCCAGGACTCTCAACAGAAACTGCTTCCAGGGAACATGAGTGCACAGAATGAGTCTTCCCTGTCCTGCATCTCTCTGATAAGGAATCAGGGTGGGGGGAAGAGGGGTGCTAAGTGTGAGAGGGTCACATGGGAAGGATTAGACAGGAGACGGTTCTCAGCGAAGACAGCCTGTGACGGACGATGGACACCTCAAAGCCACACTATACAGTCAGCCCTCACTAAAGCTAGCTCATGTCTGGGGACAGGCCCACAGCCAGCACTTGCCTGGGTGACTTCCTAGCCTACAGCTGGGATCTGTGCCATCTGGAGTGCCCCTGCGGTTTCCCCACATCTGAGTCAGACCAGGAGCTAGAGAAAGGCATGGGTGTTTAGTAAACATGGTGAGTATCATGTCCTCGGTTGGCACAGCTCCCGTCACTGGGTTGCCCCTGGGCAGCCAGGCTGGTCACAGTCCCCGGCCGGGCAGGGTGCATGTTCCCGGGTGTTCACGTATGTTGGAGATACTATGGTGGAATCTGGGGCTGATGGGGGATGAGAAAGAATGCATGCAGAGCTATTGGCAGACAGAAGTCAGAAATGATCCCCATCGCGAGACAAGGGTCTGTGCCCAGTGTCCCGGGCACTTAGCTCTCATTCTCCTTGTGTGCATGGAAAAGGCCATACCTGATGCTGGCCTTGCTCTCCTGCTGATGGGCTCTGGGATAGAGATTTCCTGCCTTTTCTGCATTGTTCCCAGTTTAGCTTCTTCCTAAAAGGACCACGCAGGGAAAGGAGGGTGGGACACAGGCAAGGCGACCTTTCCTTTACTCTTTCCAGACCACTGACCCCAGGACCCTCAGCAGGTGGTGGGGGCTGCAGAAAGTGCCCTCTGACTCTGGGAGGAGGGCCAGGGCCTCTTTCCTTTCCTGAGGTAGGGCTTACAGGCTAGACCTGTATGTCAGACAACCTTTCCGCTCAATCACAGATGATTGCTTTGTCTCATTTACTTTCTCCTATCTGTTTGAAGTTAGGCAGGCTAGAATTTGAAATGGAAATTCATGCAAATAGTATGTAAATTAGGTCATTCCCAGATTAACTAAGGTGGGGGAATCTGGTGCCATAGCAAACTGCCATCTGCTTCCTCTTTATTCTTTCCATATCTGAACTCCACCCTCCTCTTTCCCAATCAACTCTGAAACTTGTTTCCCGGGGCTAAGAGATCTTTCGAAAGGAAGGAATCCAATCATCTACGTTTCCCAGCCGAGCTGTTCCACTCTCTGCCTCGGGAGGAAGGAGGCTCAGAGAATCAACTCTGCACTAAGGGTCGCAGGCGAGCTGCCACGCCCCACCTGCAGCTCTCCACCCCACACCGTTCCTCCTACTTTTCTGTCCTAACCCCCTCTCTCCTTGTCGCTATCAGCTGAGGTCTTCTCAGCCCAGAAGCCCTCTGGCCTCCTCTGTGGCAGATGGAATCAGAAGGGCTGGGAATAGTTGTGATTCCTGCAGGTCTGAGGCCACTTTGGAGTCTGCACATGTGCGTTGGCTGAGGACTCAATGTCCGCAACAACATCTCCTGTCCCCTCCTCCCCAGTGGTGAGTCCCACCTGCCTGGGAACAGTAATAGTCACAGTCCTGCCTGCTCTGGACAGATGTCTGCAGTCTGAGGAGGCACCTCCCGCAGCCTTTAGCTTCCTTTTGCCCTCCAAGGCTCTCTGTGTGGTGGACGAGAGGCTGTCTGGCTCCTTCTCAAGGGCTGCTCTATTCTTTAAGGGAAGGAAAGGGAGGTTTCGTAGCTATCCTCTGTCCTTCAGTGAAGCAGAGCCACCGCTGACTACCCAATGAGTAACAAGTGATAGGTCTTTCTCATGCTGTTTGTCGTTGAGATTTTGAGGTTGCTTGTGATTGCATCAAAATTTAATGAGAGCGACTCAGATGCTCCGTAATCATCAAACTCCCTCCCCCCAAAGTTGCCTCAAGTTAAAAAGAAAACCTTAATGTACTTCTGTGATATTTTCTAAATATTAGGCCAAATGAAAATAAAACCATCTTCACTAAAGTTTGTTTTCTTGACTCATCATATGCCTGTGCAAAACGGGCTTACATAAAATAGACCTCCAAGAAAGGAACGGTTCAAGCGAAGGCCCCAAAGCAGAATATAAGGAGCTGGGGTCGAGTTTAAAGGGAATTGGTAGGCAGCGGGTCCGTGGGCGTGAATTCCAGTCAAGGTACAATTTCAGGATGGAAGCAGAAGGTGGCGCCATGACCCCCTTCATGGGCATTGCGGGCCTCACGGGCTGCTGGTGCCTCATCTTACGTCTGCAGAACTGCGACCTTTAGAGTCTGAACTGGGACAACTTTGGAACTGCCTTCATCAGTGTCATGGCTTTGTGGGGTGATGGTGCCTGTCTCACCTCCAGGACTCTGGGGTTTTCCGGATTGTCAGATGCGCTTTGGGGGTGGGGAGGAGTCTGTGTAATAGTTTAACTGTGGAAGGCAATCAGAGCGGGTTAGAGCCAAGGGGTACCACAGAGTCACAGCATGCAACAGAGCTCACGGGGGAAATTCCGGTAAGGGGTGGTGCAAATGCGGCCTCTGAGCGAGAGCAGAAAGAAATAGGGGCGGGGAGGGACTAGAATGGCTTACATTTTTTAAGTGAGTGTTCTCACTCAGTAGTCACGTCTTGGCTGCTGCTGCTGACCCTGTCCTGCTAGGTCCCAGAAAGCGGGCCAATGTAAATGCCTGAAGGGGGGGGGGTGCTCCAAGGCTTTCCCTTCACGGAGGTTTGTTCCCTCCCCCCAAATGATGAAGGACCTCCTGACTCCAACCAGTGCTCCCATTCTGATGGGGCCACATCCACATCAGGGTCACTAAGGTCCTAGAGTCAAAGCCCTGCGCTATCTCCGTGGGAAACCCCAGAGAAAGCACAGTGCCAGGCCTGACAAAACTGTGGTGCCCTTCAAGAGGAGAGTGTTTTGGGGGTAGCCAGCCAGCACACAACCACACACTCCTCGGTCTCCAGCCTAGAGAAGCTAGCATGCCTCCTCCTGACTTCTAGATCTGATGGTTTTCAAACATCTGGCTGCATCTATGTAGGAAATAGATGTGTTTTAACATGGTCCCTAAATTCACCGTCACTCTGTTCACTGACAAGTTTCTACCCATTGATTAAAACTATGTAATTAGTTCACTATAAATTCAATATATCTTACAGTCTACAGTAAGTCTAATATAATGAGGGGTAAGGATCTGTTAAATATTCCGAGATAAATGGGAAAGTTTATATAAAATGGTTAGAATCACGGGCGGGGGACGACAGTGAACAGTGCGGAGGAGTTCGGTGGTCTCTAGGGAAGGGAAATAATGCGTGGTGTGCAGGGCCAACACACAGCAGGAAGGCAGAAGTGAGAGTGTGGGACTGGCCAAGTGGAACCCAGAAAGAAACCAAGGTTGACTCCTTTGATGAAGGACAATGCAAATTTATACTTCAGTTTCTTCTAAATGCAATATACAAAAAAAAGAAAGAAGGAAGGAAGGGAGAGAGGAGGGAGGGAAAGGGGAGAGAGAGAGAGAGAGAGAGAGAGAGAGAGAGAGAGAGAGAGAGA